TTCCCTTTGTTCTCTGCAACATTGGCCTCAGACGTGCTTGAAGTACCTCGTTCTCTTCTCCTGGATTCTTTGGCCAGGAGGCTGTCTGTCACGACATCCATCTTCAATTTTCCATCTGGAGTCGAATTATTCAAGGTCACCACCAGAGTATCCCAGCTTTTCGGCAGCGAGCTAAACAGCAGCAATGCCTGCAATTCTTCATCAATTTTCATATCAGCCTTTGACAGCTGATTCACAATACCTTTGTAGGTGTTGAGGTGTTCAATTATACTCATGTCGTCCTTGTATTCAAGCTTCAAAAGTCGGCGAACCAAGTGTGCTTTATTCCTGGGAGTCTTCTTCTGAATCATGGACTCCAGCTTCGTCCACAACTCATACGCGTTCGTGAACTCGGACACGTGCTCAAAGAGACTTTTATCAATATATTTCCTGATCGTGGCTACCGCCTTCCGACTCAGGATCTCCCACTCCTTATCAGTTTTGCCTACCGGTCCCTCATCAAGGATAATGGGCTCATGTAAATCTTTGCAGTAGAGATGATCTTCCATCATCGGTCTCCAATAGGTAAAATTATCTGCGGTCAACTTGAATATGTCTCCATCATTGGTTATGCCACTGGTCTCCATCTTGTCTCCCTCAGAACCCGTCGAACCCGTGCTCTAATACCACTGTTGGGAAATAATCGGTTCCCTCAAGCTCGGCTAAGCAGCCTTTGTGTGGAAGTCAATCAACAAGATCCTGATCTCGGATCTCGGCAATACCTCGGCCTGAACTTCACCAGGTAGGGCAGCGCAGCGAAAAAATCAAAACGAAAACAGGAGAGAGAAAGGAGAAAAAAAGAGAGAAAACAAACAATTTTAACGTGGGAAAACCTTCTTCAATGAAGAAGTAAAAACCCACGGGACCTATTCCAGATCAAAAATCCACTATGAAAATAATGGTTACAAATAATCAGAATACACCAATGTGGTGGTTAACTCAACCTCTCCAACAATGTGGTGGTTAACTCAACCTCTCCAACAATGGTGATAATCAAACTACCCTAGAGATGTTTCACTCAAACTCTCTCTAGAGATATCTCAAATGCAAAGCATAAAGCTTTGCTCAAACAATCAAATATTTATCTCTCAAAATTTCTCTCTCATTCTCTTTTTAACCTAGCCTCCACCCTCAACTAATAAATATATAGAGGAGGTGAGATCTAAGGTTAGGGTTTTTAGGAAAACCCCTCAACGGGCTTGGGCTTAGCATTGAAGGAGGAAGCCCAACAAAATTGACAATGCGGCGATAAATGAAGGTTGGCATTTCAACGAACAAATAAAATATGTGGTCGACCATGTCCTCTTTGCTGTAGAGGGAGATATGGGCAGTAATGAAGCCCTTGGAGGAGATTCCCTTGCATATCGGCTGAGCCTCTAGGGTCTCCTGGGTTTATAATTTAGATTATGTTGTGGAAGAGTAGGGAGGTTAATGCTTGTGGCCATAGAGGAAGAGTAGGCTAATGAAAGCACCAATATAGCAGTGCTATAGGAAAGAGAATTGCAGAGAAAACAGGAGAAGAGGGGAGAAGAGACACAAGAGAGAAATGAGTCAATAATCTTCTCTCCTTTTCATTCCAAATGCACACCTATTTAATAGTAAATGTTTGTAACTGAATTACTATCACATCACAAAGGGAAATCCTAATTATGTGGTAATGAAAATAACAAAAATAAAGGAACACATATTGTAGAATTAAAAACAAACACATATTGTGGGTGTGGCCATTGGGAGCATATTTTTATGTATATAAGTGGGTTGCTACATTTATTTTTATGTACGCATAATATTCTCCACATTAAATTGGGATTGTTGGTGGTATCGAGCAAATCGCTTAGGTAGTTTAGAATTATTTACCATTTATTATTTGATAAGCTATTGGGATATGAATACAGTCTTGTTCATATAGCAATTATAAATTTGAACATTTTGATTGCATATTGTTGAGACTAATCGTCTCAAAAAAAAAAAAAAAAATTCATTGTATATAGAAAACTATGTCAAGAAATAGACATGGATGTCCTCCGGATAATGTACAGAAATGTTGTATTCATTGACTAAATAGTAGATGATTTTGTGTAAGTTCAAAATGCAACGAGGGATAAACATCTACTACATATCCAATCTTTCAGCATCCACAAGGAAATAAGCCTGCGACGTTTAATCGTTTCTCAAAAGATTAGTATTCTATCTATCAAATAGGAAAATAGTATAGGAAACTAAAAAAAATATTAAAATGTACCTTTTCGTAATTAATTTTTTTATTACTTTATCCATTTTAAAATAGGATATTATCGAGATACATTTAATATGCCATTAAAAAGAGATACATTTAATATTAAGTGAAATTAATGTGGCATTTTGATATATTAGAAAGATAATTATTACACCGCTTAATTTGGGATTACTCTCGTATTTTTGTGGAAATTTTTTCCCACATGGGTCATGGGGATATATGGGGATCTGACTTGCTCTGAAGGGATAATTAGGTTATGGAATAATCAAAATTAAAGATAAAATCACAAGTATTTTTTTTAGTAATTAGATGAGTAATTCAAATAATTAACTATTGAGGGTTAAATTTGCTTATATTGATTTTTTTTAGATACAATGCTGGGAATTGAACATCTAACCTAATACAATTTATCCAAATTCCTTAACATTAGACAAATCATAGTGACTTATTCATTTATATTGATGGTAACAATGAATAAACGATTTAACAAAACTCATTTACACCATAGACCTTCTAAGCAATTAACTCTGGCACGTCCTTCTTGCAACTTGCTGCGTGAGTTGCATTATCTCCACTTGAATCTTCGGCGGACATATATGCTATATATATACACTGTCCCTAATCTATTTTACAAGCTTCGACATCTTGCGATTGTGACAAGGTTTTGAATTCTAAATTGGCGATTGCTACAAACGCAGTACACAAATCACTATTCCTTCGATTGGACTTCGTCAAAATATCTTAATTTGTGGTGTTTTATTTGTCTTAAATTAAACTAATATTTCAACGGATTCATTCTTACTATAACACATTTCAACTTGTTTTACGAATTCTTTCTTACATAAATGGATTTTTTAGTTAGTTTTTAGTATTATCTGTAAATAAGATACTTTTCCACTTGTTTTACGATTTCATTCTTACAATAACACATTTCAACGAATTAGTTTTTAAATTAATATTAATTCAAATTTTCGATTTAAATGATTGATATATGGAATATGACTCGTAACCTTTTCAACCTTTTATTATGATTATGAGTATGATTATTATTATTATTATTATGATTAACCATCATATTAATTTTAAGAAAATAAAATAATATTAAACTAAGGATTAAACTAAAGAACAAATTAATGATATTCAATTTTTATTATTAAAAGACAAAATTAGTTGTTTTAATAAATGGTAAGTCATGCTTATACTTAAAATTTAAATAATTAATATCCAACATAATTTAAATAATATTTAACTTTTGAAAATTATAATAATTTAATAAAAATAAGAGTCATTTTTACTTCTTAACCAATACTTTAAAATACACCTTAATAACAACCAACCACAAGAATAAACTATGGTTCCATTTTAATTACTAATTTTGACTTTTGAGTTTAAATTGATTTTTGTCATTCTTATAATTCTGTCAAACTCTACCGAATTAATTGTTAAATTGGTAAACAAAATTAATATATTTGAAGTATTTGATAGTACTGTATGAACTAATTAATACTCGTTTTTCATTTGTATTATAAAAGAATTAAAGAATTCTCAGGAAGAATTTATTCTCTAACATATGCATAATAAATATGCGGATCTCACTAAATTTTATTCTCTTTTTTTCTTTTCAATGAAATCCACATATTTATTATATACACAAGAGAAGATATATTTTTTCATTTAACTTAACCCATTATAAAATGAGCATATGTGAGGACTCGCCTGCGTTTTGATTCCTCATTGACAATTCTAAACTTATCCGATCCTCTAATCATTTTCCTAATTAATTACTAAACAAGCCCAATATTGATAGTTTTAATTTTTTTTAATATATTAAATGATCATAATATCTTATCTTTTTTAAGATTATTATCTTATCTACTAAGTTAAAGATACTTTGAGTAATAAAAATTAGGGGAAGGATATTGTGAAAACCAAGTTGTGTTACTACCAAGTGACTACCAATCAATCTTATCGTTATATCGATTATATTGATCCAACGATTATATTTATTTTCATCTTTGTATGGTCATGATTTCCCAAATTTAATACTTTATATTTATTTTCACCTTTGTATGGTTATGATTTCCCATATTTAATGCTTTCACTTTAAATATGGGGAATCATGACCATATAAAGATAGAAATAAATATAACCGTTGGATCAACATAATCGATCTAACAGAGAGATTGATTGGTAGTCACTTGGTAGTAACACAACTTGGTTGTCACAATATCTTTCCCCTAAAAATATCATTTTCATTAAGAGGCAGGATTCTTTGATACCGGTATTTGAGAACCGTTAGATCAAAAAAATCAACGGTGTCACATGCTTGCCAATCAGAGTCATTTTTTTGATCTAACGACTCTCAGATGAGGTGTCAAATTTAAAATTTGACACTGGTGTCAAAGGATCCTACCTCTTTCATTAATTATAATTAAACATTTAAATAATAATAACATTTAAAAAAAAATCTATTACCAAAAGTCCAAAATTATAACATCTTTACATATTCCAAGTTGTTATTATAAATTTATAATATTATTATTATGTGTTATCGGTTGCCGTACCGTGCAGAAGAACACGTGGTGTAGTATATAAAGGAGTAACGACACGGTACTCATAATGCACCGAATGAATTTTCGTATATAAAGGGAGTTGTTGTACTATGAAGGAGTGTATGGTAGCGTCAGAGACTGAAGCATGTCTTCTTTATGTCCATTAATATCACCTTCTCTTCCTTCAACCTCTTTCCTCCGAATACCCTTCGTATTCTCCGGATTGCCATTATGCCCTCTTCCGTTCACTTCTTCTTGTTCTCGCGTGATGTGTCACGGTGGTTCACAACACGTTGCCAGTGACCTCAAGTTCGTCTTGCACGATGCTCTCGATGCTTCTGGAATTAACACCATCCATGCCAGAGTAATACCCATCTCTTTTTTATGTTGTTTCTCTCTCTATATACGCTTAGTTTCAATATTTTTGTTTTAGTTTAATTTTGGTTATATATGTAACATTATTTGATACCATTATCAAATGATAAAATTTGACAAAATTTTAACCATGTAAATCAATAATTATTATATTAAAAATTAATCATTAATTAATAAAATTCTTTTTTTTTTGGTAAGCAATAAAATTCTATTCAATATACGAGAAGTGTTTCCTACGACCTCTTTTCGCTTATAAAATATTGATTTCATTCTAATTTATTGAATCATATTTATTAATTATTTATTTATTTTTAATAAATTATTATTTTTGAATTAACAAAAATTAGACCTAAACTTTTAGGTCATAAATATAACAGTCTTTCTAAGGGTTGTATTTATAAATTTTTGTTTACAGAATAAACTATGTAGTTTTGAATAATTTATTATTCTTATAAATTGTTCTTACATCGAGTATATATATATATATATAAGGTTTATCATTTATCATTTAACATGACCACAAAAATTTTCCTACACACACAACATTTTTTGGGCCCGCAGCAAAAAAAAAAAAAAAAAACTTCGGCGCGCAAAACGAATCTCTATAACATAACACAATCACTTTTCCTACAACATAACTCTTATAAAACCCATATATATATCTATGAAGGGTTGTATTTATAAATATTTGTTTACAAAATAAACTATGTAGTTTTAAATAATTTATAAAAATAATTTATTATTCTTATAAATTGTTCTTAGATCGAGTATATATATATATATCGTTGTATTTATAAATATTTGTTTAAAAAATAAACTATGAAGTTTTGAATAATTTATAAAAATAATTTATTATTCTTATAAATTGTTCTTAATGTTTCTCTTTAGGGTTGTATTTATAAATATTTGTTTAAAAAATAAACTATGAAGTTTTGAATAATTTATAAAAATAATTTATTATTCTTATAAATTGTTCTTACATCGAGTATATATATATATAGATTTAATGTTTCTCTTTTTTGTCAATTCAAAAAATATTAAAAATATTTTTTTAAGTTAAAAAAAATATATTTTTTGTAATTTTAATTTATTCTTGGATTATATTAGTATAATTACTTGTTTACAAACAAAAAAGTTTTTTACAAATTCCACTAGTTTTCAAGAGTTTATAAATATAACCTGCTATATATATATATATATATATGGGTTTATCAACCTATATATATAGGGTTTTATAAGAGTTACTTTGTAGGAAAAGTGACTGTGTTATCTTATAGAGATTCGTTTTGCGTGCCGAAGTTTTTTTTTGCTGCGGGCCCCACAAAATGTTTTGTGTAGGAAAATTTTTATATATATATATGTTAATTTTGTCACCCGCCATAGGGTGGAAAATGGTTTTGATCTGAACTCATTTGAAGTTAAGAAATTCTGGGTTTTGAATGTCATCTTTTGACTGGGAAAGAGATAACTTTTTGGATTTTGGCGTTTACGAGTTTCAAAGTTTCCTATTGATTTTGTTTTGTTTTCTTGTCCTATTTTGTCTTCTTTTCTTTTCTTTTTCAACTTGATAAAATACCAAAGTATAGCATAATTTCCACTTATGGGTTGTGAATGTCCCACTATTTTGGGTTCTCTATTTCACATAACTAGGGGTACCAGCTATGCTCATTATTTGGGAGATGGTGATTGATGTTTGGTGTCTTGGTTTTTGTTATTCCGGACTCATGTTTTAGAGCCCACTAATTTGAAGATGGTGGTTGGGGTTTAGGTTCGCGGTGTGGCTTGTTTCATCATTATTTATTTGATTTTCTTTAATGGTTGAATTATAAGTTCAAAATTTGCTTGCAATTTGTCCTTCCCCTTTTGTCATAATTACTTTTTCAATATGTATGACATACTCGCAGCTTGGTTTGATGGAAAATGATTCATCTTGATTCATTTGAATTTATAGTTTTTGGGTTTTGAACTTCAAGATTGAATGAAGAATAATTTCATTGTTGCATATTTGATGGATGAGCAGGAAGCCAGGGAGGAGTTTTGCTCACAAATTCGAAGATTTACTGATATTGGGAAGGAAACCAGCATTTGCATTAACAGGCGTGTAGATTTGGGGAGAACTGCTCTGTATATAGCTGCAGAGGATGATTCTCTGGTATCACATTCGTCAGTTCCACTTTCTGTAGATGATTTCATTTTAAGATTGGATGATCTCTCAATGGAGTACTGTCCTCACCACAGGCCCGAATATGATTCATCCCCCGAGAAGCTTTTAGAGAGCATAGAGAGATTTCTATATGTTCACATGGTATGTACTTTGATTTCAGATAGTAAGCTATCTACTTATTTCATTTCAGTGTATGTATAATAAGTAGTGTGTAAATAGGTGAGAAGGCCTTACCTAAAAGCCTATTAAGCAACCTATACTGTATTATTTATTTTAATTAAAAAAAAATATTTTAATATTTTAATTAATAAAATACTGTATTATTTAAGGAATGATAGGCTTAAATAAAGTCAAGGCAAGGCCTTTTGATTTTTGTATTTTAAGTCAAGTCAAACTTATAATTTGGCTTACACCTGTCTAATAAGTCAGGTTAAACTAAAAATATTTTATATAGGTATGGCCTATTTAGATCAATACTTAGCCTAGATCAGCTGATTTACACCCCTACTAATCACCGGATTTTGAAGCATTATTTTAAGATACCAGTTGCAAAGTATCCAGCATAAGAAATGGAGACCAGGCTGATTAATCAAACCTCTAAACCTGCATAAGCAGTTGGGTTCATTTTAGGTTTAAAAATGCATTGATTAAACTTACTTAATTTAGCTATAAGTCTAATCTTTGAATGAGAGAATTCAGAAATTGAAATCACAAGAAATGGTCCAAGAAATGCTAATTGTCTTTTGCTCACTTTAAATTTTCTATTTGCTTTCTCGACTTCAATTTTTATGTGTTCAAATTATTTTGACTAGTTTATCTTAAAAAATTGGATTTAGGAGGAGGTCAATGCTTCATTGCTTCCACCTTAGATGGGCCTGCTTCCCCAATTTTTCAAAGGAGTTCTTTTCCTAGACCTTAATATGTGACCTTCCAATTAGAAGGAACAACCTTACCACTACTCTATGGTTCGCCCTCAAGAAAGAACAAAATTGCCTTTTGTCTACTCCAATGGCAACTGTAGTTCCCTAACTAATTCAAGTGATAAAAAATTACAAGAGGCCCCTGAATCAATAAGCACAATCACCTTTTTCTTCTGTGTTGTACCCTACAATTTTAAGGATTTCTTAGATTTCAGTTGCGCTATGCTGTTCATGCTGATTCTCACTTTTGCAATTCTTATCTCCCTCTCCTTCTAGTTCCTCTAATGCCTGATTCCACTTCCTTCCTCCTCCGGTCCCAGAGCTAACAAATTCAGATGTTGATTTTGGTACAAATGATTAGGAGCATAACTTTCATCAACCTGAAACATGTATTCTACTTTATTTTGTCCTTGCATTTCCTCATTGGTCAGCCTTCTGATTAATTCTTATTTTCCACATAATCCAAGCAATTAATTCTGATTTTCTACATATTTATTACGCTGTGAGAACCGAATGTAGATTTTCGGTGACAGTAAATTTGCCATTAGCATAGTCCATAACATAGTTCAACATGACAGGCTGAAGAGAACTGCTAGAAATTTCATCAAGTCAGAAATTGAAAATGGAATATTTACCACGCAGTACATTCCAACTAAGTCGATGGAAGTAGATATTCTTACAAAGATTTTGTTGAAATCAGACTTGGATTCTAATGTTGGCGCACTAGGAATGATTGATTTCCTAGTTTAGTTTGTGGGGGAGTGTTGAAAAGCAATCCCGAGATACACAGCATCTCACTCAATATTGACAGTCCATAATAGATTTTCTAGATTTTTCACTCACTCCATGTTAATTATATTATTAACTGGTTTCTCTTTTTTGGATATAATGGTAGTATTGAGGTTCAAACCTATAACCTCATGCAAAATACTCAAACCCCTCACCACTAGATCAATCATAGTAGCTTTAGATCAATCATAGTAGCTTTTATTATCTTGTTTCAGCATCTTCCTATGATGCCCTTACTTTCACTCATCACTTTCTTGTTGATAGGGTTACAGGAGAACCAACGCAAATCTATTGGAGCCACAAGCACTTTATCTCCACTCGGTAATATCTCCCTCATATTTATGAGATGTTTCTGAAGAGAAACCTTGACTGGTGGACATTTGATAGATTTACTCTAATGTGTTGAGCAGGTTTTGACTCATCGTTTGGGATCCGCAGCAATGCTGTCACTTGTATACTCAGAAATCCTGAAAATGCTTCGTTTGTGGGGCATTTTGTATTTTGATGCTGAAATTTTTTTCCCTCATGATGTTTTTACCCTTCCCAAAGGCTATCATAAGCAGAAAAGCAAGGAGTCAGACCAAGCACACATAATGACGTCAGGAAACATATTAGTTGAGGTAATTTCTGATTACTTGCTCTCCTTTAGCTTTTAGCTTTTGCTTTACTTTGTTTCTCCTCTACCAACATATTAAAAAAATATGTTGAAAATCAGAATTCAAATATGTTTCCGTTTTTATTTCCTATTAATTAGGATAGATTATGATTGATTAGGATTGATTCTAATTGATTAGAATTGATTGTGATTAGGATTGATTAGTCATCGCTGAGTCATTTTTAGCGATTCTTTCTTGTATAAATACACACTCATGTAATTTATTCAATATCAATATACAGAAACCTTTTTTCAATATGGTATCAAGAGCGGGTTCGTTCCTACCTTAAATCAACCACCTTCAAGGCTGAAATCATCCCAAAACCACCTAAACACAATCCAACCTAAACCCAAATCCCAGAAAACCATACCTACAAACCTCCAATCAAGAAGGTGGAGGTACCATTCAACTCAGAAGGCTCCGATGAGTTGAATGCAGCCGGACCCGTCGCCGTCAGACCTCGCTCCGATGAGTTGAATGCAGCCGGACCCGTCGCCGTCAGACCTCCCACGCGCCGCCACACGCGCGGCTCTTCTCCGGCGCGTGTAGTCCACGCTCCGCCTTCCCGGAATTTTTTTTCGGCGCGAGCTGCCCAGATCACCTCGTCGGCCTCCTCTGTCCCTGTTCCAGTGGTCAGATATCAAATCAGAGAACAAAAATTTTGGGGTCCACAGTCAAACCTTCACTTTCTACTCATGGCTTCCTTGAATCGTTCTTCCGCCTCCTCATCTGCCCCAAATTCTGAGCCCTCTAGAGACAACTTAGGTTTGCAGATCACTAATCACCGGTTGAACGATAAGAATTTTCTGCAATGGTTTCAATCGATTAAGTTGGTCATCCGGGCAAAGGGTAAGATGGGCTATCTCGAAGGAAAAATTAAGAAACCTACTGAGGATTCTCCTGATTATGACAATTGGGAGATTAATAATTCCTTGGTCATGGCTTGGCTGACTAATTCCATGGAACCACAGATTGGCCAAACCTATCTGTTCTTCGATACTGCCAAGGAAATTTGGGATGCTGTTCAAAAAAATTACTCAGATCTGGAGAATACCTCTCAAGTCTTTGAACTGAGAAATAAGTTGAGAGACTTTCGTCAAAGGGGTATGACTATTACTGAATATTTTACTGCACTAACAAATTTATGGAAGGAATTGGATCTTTATTATGCATCCGATCTTAAGGGATTGGAAGCTAATACCCAATTTAAAAAACACTTGGAGAAGGAAAGACTGTATGATTTCCTTGCCGGACTCAACCGAGATCTTGATGAGGTTCGTGGTCGAATATTGGGGCAGCGACCATTACCTTCACTTGCTGACGCCTTTGCTGAAGTTCGTAGAGAAGCCAGTAGACGGAGAGTTATGCTGGGAGAAAAGGAGTCGCTTGATAAGTCTGATGATATGTCTGCATTAGCTGCCAACCGTACCATTGATCGTTCCTCTGGAGAATCAAAACGGGATGGTCGTCCATGGTGCACCCACTGCAATAAAATTGGTCATACCCGTGAGAAATGTTGGGAAATCCACGGGAAACTTGCAAATTGGAAGCCCAAAGGACAAAATAAAGGTCGTGCATATCAGGTCTCTACTGATGACAAGGTTGATGAGCCCCATGCATCCCTTGACTCTGATGATGTCTTTCTTAGCAAGACTCAGTTTGAACAACTTCAGAGACTTTTGACTCAACCTCCTAAGGCCACTAGTAATGTGGTCCAGCAAGGTACAGCTTTTCATTTGATAGTCAAAATCATTGGATCCTTGATTTTGGAGCCTCTGATCATATGACAGGTAATCTTGGCTTGTTTTGTTCATACACTCCATATTCTGAACCCTCTCGGGTCAAGATCGCCGATGGCAGTTTTTCCCAGATTGCGGGACACGGAACCATTAAAATCTCTGAGCTGATTAATTTGACATCAGTTCTTTATGTTCCTTCTCTGGCTTGTAATCTCATTTCCATTAGCAAGCTAACTTCTGAGTTGCATTGCTTTGCTAAATTCTTTCCACATGGTTGTGTTTTTCAGGAACAGGACTCGGAGAGGATGATTGGCAGTGCTAGAGAGGATGGTGGACTTTACTACTTTGAGGAGGATGTGACTCATGAAGCTGTTTTCGTAGAAAAAAAACTCTCTGTTTCCTTTTGATTCATGTAGTGATGTTATGCTGTGGCATTGTAGGCTTGGCCATCCAAATTTTATTTATCTTCAGAAGTTGTTACCAAACTTATTTATTAATAAAAGTCCTAGTTTGTTTTCTTGTGATATTTGTGAACTTGCCAAGCATACTCGTGCTCATTATCTTTCTAAAGTTCACCATGACTCTTCCCCATTTTCCTTAATTCATAGTGACATATGGGGTCCAGCCCGTGTTAAAATTATTTCAGGTACTCGATGGTTCATTACCTTATTGATGACCATTCCCGAGTCTGTTGGGTATATCTCTTAAAGGACAAGTCCGATGCTGCATCCGTGTTTAAAAAATTTCATGCCATGGTTCAAACCCAATTCCAAGTTGCTATACAAATTCTTCGTACAGATAATGGCAAACAGTATTTTAACTCTATTCTTGGAGAATATCTTTCCCAACATGGCATCCTTCACCGAAGCTCGTGTCCTGACACACCCCAACGAAACGGAGTTGCGGAAAGAAATAACCGACATCTCCTTGAAGTTGCTCGGGCTCTTATGTTTACCACGAGTGTTCCTAAATATCTTTGGGGAGAGGCAGTTCTCACTGCCTCGTATCTGATAAATCGAATGTCATCTCGTATTCTAAAATTTCAGTCTTCTCTTTCTAGTCTTTTTCGACCTTCCCTTCCTTCCGAGGCGTCTCCTCCTTACCTCTCAAGTTATTTGGTTGCGTTGTATTTGTCCATATTCCCTCCCATCAACGGTCTAAGCTTGATCCTAAGTCTCTCTAGTGTGTCTTTATTGGTTATTCTCCTACTCAACGTGGCTATAAGTGTTATTCACCCTCTCTTCGTAAGGTCTTTGTCTCTATGGATGTCACCTTTTCTGAGAATGACCTTTTCTTCCCCTTGACTTCTCTTCAGGGGGAGTCTATAGGAGTAGATGAAGATCAGTCATGGGAACCTACTGATGCCACAATATTACCTCTACTTTTGGAAACAGGGGGAGCTACAGAATCCTCACCATCAGAAGCCTCCTCAAAATGGGGACAAGTTTATAGCAAGCGAAAGCCTCCTCAAAGTGTGAATAACCCAGAGCCTCTACGCTGCCAGGATTCTGAACCATGTTCTAGTTCCAGCACTCCAACACTTGAGTGTCATGGTGAAAATGATCTACATTTGCCCATTGCTCTCAGAAAAGGTACTCGATCTTGTACTACTTATCCTTTTTCTAATCATATTTCATATGGAAAGTTGTCCCCAGGGTTCCGTGCTTTCAATACTATGTTGGATAGTACAAAGGTACCGAGAAATATACATGAGGCTCTCGATGATCAAAAATGGAGGGATGTTGTCTTTGAAGAAATGAATGCTTTAGAAAGAAATGGAACTTGGGAGATAGTGACCCTACCCAAGGGAAAACAGGCAGTAGGATACAAATGGGTGTTTACAATAAAATTCAATGCAGATAATAGCATCAACAGATACAAGGCAAGATTGGTTGCAAAGGGTTTCACTCATACTCATGGGATAGATTATCATGAGACTTTTGTTCCGATTGCTAAAGTCAATACCATCCGAGTTCTCTTATCTCTTGCTGCCAACCTAGATTAGCCTCTGCAACAGTTAGATGTGAAGAATGCATTCCTAAATGGTGACTTACATGAAGAAGTCTATATGGATCCTCCACCTGGTTTTGAAAAGGGAAATGGATCAGTGTGTAAAACTAAAAAAGTCTCTATATGGATTGAAACAGTCTCCCAGAGAATGGTTCGACAAATTCACACAAGCAGTCAAAAGAAGAGGCTTCATTCAAGCACAGACTGATCATACTCTCTTCCACAAACACTCTAAGGATGGTAAAATTGTTATTCTTATTGTATATGTAGATGATTTAATTCTTACAGGTGATGATATTGAGGAATTGAACACCTTGAAGAAATTTTTAGCAGCTCAATTTGAACTCAAAAACCTTGGCACTCTCAAATATTTCCTTGGTATGGAAGTTGCTAGGAGCAAAACAGGCATCACTCTCACACAAAAGAAATATGTTCTAGATCTTTTGTTGGAAACAAGAATGTTAGGGTGTAAACCTGCTGAGACACCTGTGGAACCTAATACCAAGTTAGGTATTGAAGATGGGAATGAGGTGGATAAAGAACAATATCAGCGATTGGTTGGTAAACTAATTTACTTATCTCATACGTGTCCTGACATTGCCTTTGCGGTAGTATGATTAGTCAATTCATGCACTCACCCAAGGAGAAACATCTTAGTGCAGTCTATAGGGTGCTTAGATACCTCAAGAACACTCCAGGAAGAGGATTATTCTTTAAAAAGGGGTATAAAAGGACAATTGAAATCTACACTGATGCAGATTGGGCAGGCTCATCAGTAGACAGGAGATCTACCTCAGGCTATTTCACCTATGTGTGTGGAAATCTTGTTACTTGCAGAAGCAAAAAGCAAACAGTGGTTGCAAGAAGTAGTGCTGAAGCAGAATTTCGAGCTTTAGCTCATGGAGTTTGTGAAGGAATCTGGTTGAGAAGATTTCTTCCAGAATTGAAGATTTCATATTCCCTACCAATAAAAATATATTGTGACAACAAGGCAGCTGTTAGCATTGCTCAAAATCCTGTGCATCATGATCGAACAAAGCACGTGGAAGTTGATCGTCACTTCATCAAAGAAAAATTAGATGATGGAAGTGTGCGTATGATATATGTTCCAACCAAAGAGCAAACTGCAGATATCCTTACCAAGGGCCTACACCGTCCAGCATTCGAAGACTTGATTGGCAAGTTGGGAATGATCAACATTTACCTCCCAACTTGAGGGGGAGTGTAGAAAATCAGAATTCAAATATATTTCCGTTTTTATTTCCTATTAATTAGGATTGATTATGATTGATTAGGATTGATTGTGATTGATTAGAATTGATTGTGATTAGGATTGATTAGTCATCGCTGAGTCATTCTTAGCGATTTTTTCTTGTATAAATACACACTCATGTAATTTATTCAATATTAATATACAGAAACTTTTTTTCAATAAAATATGTATTGACTTTTCCTAGTTTATGGTAAGAACTGTGTTTTTGTGTCATAAACTAGTAGGATGAACCTTTGCGCAAAGGTAAGGTTACTGCCTTGTGACCCTTGGTTTATTTTTATTTTCTTTTATTTGAGAGGTTCTTGCAAAACATATTCTGCCATACTTGTTTGATTATCTGTCAAAGTGGGTCACTCTTATCTTTAGCATTTATGTTGGCCTATGTGTGTAGATGTTAAATAATCTGAAGCATGTATTCTGGCCTTTTCAACATGATCATTCCAAAACTTTATTCTTAAGGGCAGCACATGCTGCTAACTGTGTTGATAGATCTGATTTTGTTGGAGAAAGGTACTTTATATAATGACATTCCTATCTGTTATTTATTCTTATGTAAATATTTTATATAAGAACTAGTTTTAAAGTTTGTCAACTGCAGTGGCTCTCATACTGTATCAGCTAATGATATTCAACATCGGCTGGATCAGGGTGTTTGCACCAGCATGCGTTTTGGGGACATGAGGCGTTCATTGTCTGGTATGCATTTGATTCATTTTCTCTCTGCTCTGTCTCTATATTGTAAAACAATTGACATGAGTTGATGGATCCAGAATGTGATGCTTTCGGAGCAGAATAGACTTCTGAATTTTATTAGATTCCATGTTATTAGTTTTAGTAGTTTACTTTTTAAGGTTTTACAGTGGAGAAACCAAGGTTTTCCCTGTAGGCACTGTTTTATGAGGATAAAAACTGGATAATTAACCTCTCTTGTCCTCCCTTCTCTTTTTACTTGTTCTTTTGGGAGAGGTAAGAGAGGGGGAACTGTGGAAATGGGGAAAGGGTATTAGCAATTTGGCTACCTGTGCTTTAGATTCTTACATAATCCAGAATTGGACCTTCTCTTTATAGACATCAAGAAATACTGGATATTATGAGGCTTTATTTTTTTCCCCTTATGTCAGAAAAATAAGACAATGACCAAAAAAACATTTACTGTTATCCAGAGAAAATCTGGGCAGACTATTTCTTAAACTCTAGTTTTGGAAGTTCTCAAGGCATCATGATATCTCGTTTGAAGGGGACAGACCTGAAGTGGTGGTAATAGGACTCCTTTGTGATGAAAAGTTACAAGTTTGAATTCAGGAAACAACTCCTTTGCCTTCACCCTACTCTCACTAGTTAGGGTTTAATGGGAAGTTATTTATCATGATATATCTATTTCTTGCTTAAAAGGATTGGTCTACTTACTTTACATGAAGACACCCTAGTTTTTTGAGCTTCAAGGTGTTCTGTACTATCTTGCCAGAGTTGAAACCCATGGATTATCATCAAAACTAGTATCTTTCTAGTTGCAGTTTAATATGGCATAGGTATAGTATTTAGTATAGACTATTGAAAATGAGAAACATAGAGATATTGAAAACCGTGTGTATTGAGTATGATACAAATATCTCACCTGGTTGTTCTATTTATACTAATAATTAGGTCGAGTACTACTGCAATATTTCTAGTATCATAAGCCCAAGTCCACTAAATACAATAAGCAGACTAATCCTAATTAAATAAGGAAATAAATTAGGAAATGTTTTTTGACATATTCTCAGGATATTCTAACAAGAGTGTTGGTCCTTATTCCTCAGTGCATTTTTCTCCTGTCTGTTTTGTTGATATTAGTCACAATATTTGAAACCACCAACATGTAATTCCCGGTTAAACTTTCTTGTAATTCAACATGATCCCTAATATTTTCCCTATTCTTTCAGCATGTGAACGCCTTATCCTCCTGAAAAATGATGCAAATGAGTTAAGAGATTACAGTGTTCTTCTCTATCATTGTGGATTATATGAGCAGTCACTTCAATACATGAAGAAGTACCGAGAACTGAAGGTACAATTACCATGCAATGTGTGATGAACTAACTCTTTTAAAAGTTTAAGACATTGGGTGAAGGCACATGTCCACGTATTATGTTATAGAAATTTCACAATTTTAATATGGGGCAGCAAGGATTGAACTCTAGACTATTTGGTCATAGGCTTTGATACCGTGTCACTAACCAATTCTCCCAAAAGCTTTAAGTTGTTACATGAATGTACATGAATGATTTTTATATTTATATTTCTAACTAACACTTTGCAATTCATAAATCTTTGCTTTTCCAAGTTAACTGAATGAGGTGTGTACCATCCAATTTTTGCAGAAATCACCTACACAATTGACATCATCAAACACTCTTAGCAGCCTGGAAGAAGATGCTGTGGATAATCTAATGATGCGCTTGAATCTCATCCTAATGGAGCAAGGTTGGAGTCGGCCATCTTATGCCAGAAATCATCTCGGTAACAACTCTGAACCATGGTAGTTCCTCTTCCATGTTAATAGAGAGAGCATCATCAAAGAAGATAGCTTGACAGTTCATGGCATCAAGTTTTGTTTGTATTTTCTGGACACAAAGCTTGGGATTTTGGGATACATGCAGCTCTAGTTGTTCCAATAGCTTGCATGCTCTGCAATCATACAGAAAAAACGTGGTTACAACTGCTGAAGTGAACGAGATTGTCCGATAAATCGGTGGACACACACAACCCACAGGTTGATTGAAAGTAAGAGCCATATATTAACGCAGGGCGCAGAGAAAATTCTCACTATTACGGTATCACCTACATGTGTTCCTGTAATTATATAATTCTGTGCTTTTTACTATATTTCCTCTGTAAAATTTATGTATATAGTAAACCAGTTTTTCTCTGAAAAGTTATATAGATATGATGAAATTGAAGCATTATTGAATCAGCATTATCTCATATATTTGAGAACTATCCAAGCAATAAGGGGGGGTGGATGATAGTTGCATGCATAAAAGCACAGATTATGTCTGTATTAGGATTTAAAACACCAAGAAAAATTGTAATTAATTGTATATGGACCGTTCAAAAGACATATTATGAACTAGTATCGTTTAAGAATATTGAAATGTTATGTTATACACTAATGGACACCATACTGAAATAGGATCCACTCAAACTTTCTCTGTAAGACAAAATGATGGAAAAATTTGCATCGTTAGAAGTGTAGTAAAGTTGAGATCTTGGCTTCTTAATAGTATATAGTAATAATTTAATTTGTATTAATCGTGGATTCAAGGTTACCCCACCTGATGCATAATTAATAGTGTTGCACACTGTGATGCAAGGTACAAACGTGAGGTTTTTCAATTTTAAAATATTCTAGGATGGCTATTTGATGTCCAAACCTTTTCCTATGCTAAGAATGTGTGGTTTGGAATTTTTTGATGTAGTTTATTTCTAAGAAAATCGAAGGTGTCACGTTCAAACTGGATAAATGAAGACTCTCTTTAATAATTTTTATCTCTATTATTCCAAATAATTCATCATCTAAGAGATAAATGGTTAAATCCTTAATGTCTTAGTTATTTAACTCTTTAATCTAATTAGAATCTTAATTTCTTAGAAACCCTTCTTAGATTAAACTTTACGTACCATGAATTTCACAAGTATGCAATTTTTACAAGTCTATATCTAGATCATGCAAAAATTGGTGTTTATCCCAGTTTAGATTAAGATTCCAATATTTCTATTTAGAACCCTAGCCTTTTTTATTCCTATATAATTAGTCAAATCATACAAGGACTTAAACAAATCACTCAAGATAAACACATTACAATTTGAGACAAAATTTATTTAAAAGAAAATTAAACTAAAATAAAGATTCACGTTGGATTCATATCTCTAACTACAAAAGAAAACTAGCCTAGCATAATGCAAGAAACATAAACTAAAGATGAAAGGAAACAAGAATCCATAAGAAAAAACTTAGTGATTGATCTCCACGACGAAGCTCTAATTCTTCCTTTGTGTTATCAACCTTCGATCCTTCTTTCTTTATCCCCAAATCATGCAAAAGTCGAACTCCTCAGCCCTCTTTCTATTTTGTCTTTTAAATATAGGTCCATGGGCTTTCATAAACGATGTTGCTCGCTATGGCGAGCAAACTAGTGAGTTTAAGATGAAAAATAGGTGATTCTTGCTATTTCACTCAAGTTTATTTAGCGAGTTAATGTGCTTGTTCCATATTTTGAACATAACTTGGGTTGTACTTGTCCAATTGATGTGATCGTGGTCTCTTTGGAAAGATAAAAGAGAGATCTACAACTTTTATGAAGAATACGAGATTCGAATCCATCATATTAGATAGTAAAAATGGACTGGAATATAGCTTTAGGAAAATTTTCACTAAGTGGTGCTTCCATTCTTGAAATAATAGTACTCCAGCTCTAACTTAGCTTGAGTCTTGCCTTCTCCCGGCTTCCTTGATCCATCAATGTTTTGATTTATCGATGCAAACCTGAAACTGATATATTTTTAAGTTAGAATCAATCCAATCATGAAAACTCAGAGTCTTTTGCATTTGATAATATATACTAGGGACATGTTACGTTTACAACTTTTTTTGTTTACAACTCTTACAACCTCAACTATGTTCTCCCGGGAGTATACTACTGGAGAGTGTACTCCCGGGAGAACATAGTTGAGGTTGTAAGAGTTGTAAACAAAAAAAGTTGTAAACGTTACCCTTCCTAATATACTATGTCTTTGACTATATTTATCATTCTTTAAAATACTTTTGGTCCTAAGAACATAGTATGTTTGACACCTAACAAATCATTCCCAGATTTACTCATTATTGTCCCCAATAATTGGACTAGTTTAAGAACATGGAAAATGCAAACATATGGATGTGCTCAATAAATTATCAATAAGGAAAACAGGCAATGACTCAATCCATAATGATCAGACTTAGTTTAAAAATAACTGAACTTCAGGAACGAGCATCTAATCAAACAGTTTCCAGAAACAAGCAAGTCATGGAACTACAGCAAGAGATCAATCAATAGAGCATGGAAAGCTGAATCTAAACACACCTCTCACTAGAATTATCATTTCACTCATCACTCAAGTGTCTAGGGGGTAAGTATTTCACTCAAACTTTTAGTGAATAAATACTACTATAGGCTTGGTTAGATTCTCACTCTCCTCAGTTTAATAACATGCACAGAAGATCAAGAGGTATTTACTCAGATTGTAATGGGGCCTGGCTAATGGGAGGGTAAATAATGAGTAACATAGCTAAAGTGGATAACAGAAAAATCAGGGACAAGCATAAGCACGAACCAATTTTCAGCTCACAATCTCCTTCACACTTTCTTCCTCCTTTTTATTTTTCATTTTTTTTTATATTATTTTTTTCAATATTTTTATTTGCATGAAATTTAAAGGGGCAACACTAAATAACTTTTTTTTTATTCACCGTTTTCCATCTTAATTTTTGCTCGACTCTTATAACCTCATTTTTCATCACTAAGCATCACATAATACAATGCTCATGCTTACACTCTATCACAAAAATTATACAATCCAATTCTATTTAAGGTAGATGTGTGTGGAGTGGTTAATTACAACAATGAGTTATTAAGAAATAAACAAATTTAGGCTCAATGGACGAAACAAAGGATAGCATAATGGATGACTTTTTGGATTCAAATGGAATGAAATATTTTCAATTTGGGAGAAAGAGAGTACCGAGTTTGGTACTTTCACTGCATTGAACAAAAAATCCTAATATGAGAACCTTGCTTGAAATGTCGATGTTATTATTAATAATTTTATTAATATTAAAATAAAGTAATATTAAAATAGTGAACAAATTAATGATATTATTGAATGACTAATTTATTTTTTCAATAAATGGTTATCGTTAAAAATTAAATATTTAATATCTTTAATAATTAAAATATTATTATTTTTTAAAAGTAATTATAATATTTTAATAAAATCATAAAATTTATTTTTATTTCTCAACCAATACTTTAAGATACTAAGTTAATAAAAGTTTTAAAAATTTTATTTTGAATAATTTTATTTTGAATTATTTGATACCTTCATATACTAATTAAATACCCGCTTCTATTTTTTGAACCCAAAAAATACCCGCTTCTAAATTACCAAATACAAAATAAAAAAATACCCGCTTCTCTATTGGTATTGTAAATAAGTAGGAGTGTAAATAAGTTGGGTTGGACTAGATTTTGCCTTAAATAGGTTAAGCCTGTGAAAAATAATTTAGGTCTGGCCTGATCTGTTAGCTTTGGGTTGGTTTGACTCGGCTAATTTTTGACAAAATAGGTTACACGTTGATTTTTATTAACCTGGTCGGGTCATGCATATTTAAAAAAATAAAAATAAAGCAAAACGACATTTTTTTTAAGCAACAACTAAATGTAAAATCCCTAAATTATATAGCACTATTTTCAGTTCATATATACACATCAATCACACACACAAAAAAAACATAGTTAAACATTCAAACATAAAGAAGAATAAAATTTAAATGAAAAGTGAAAACAATCACACACAAAAAAAACATAGTTAAACATTCAAACATAAAGAAGAATAAAATTTAAATGAAAAGTGAAAATGCTTAAGTTGGATTTAAATTTGAAAACATAGGAGGGAGATTGTAACACCCCGTCTGCAGCCGGTGTATTAACATACAAATGGTATTTAAAGCGCAGCTTGCAATAATTAATCGCGAAAGCAATATACTATTTCAATAATTAATCGCGGAAGCAATATACTGTTTTATATCAATAAACAAGGCTAATCCTCATGGTGGATTAACTTTTCCTTTTAATAACAATCCTTATGTAATTGTAGTGCTAAAATAAAATCTGAAATACCTCGTACTCATCAATAACAATTCAAAAGCATCCATAACTCAAGGTGCTATAATACAATTAATCAAGTCTACAAATAAACGGATTTTTTAATAGTGGCATAGACAACCTCTATGCTCACCACTAATAACAACGTAATCCATCAAGTCTAGTCATAATCTAGTCTCATCATGGTAAAATAAATAATCATAATATGCATGACTCATATCAATAATGAAATCTCTATGCTGGTCTCTTGCCTCTATCAGTGTCTGTCTCACAAACGTCATCTCCTGAAAAATATGCCCTAGAAGGGGTGAGATTTCTAATAGAAATCTCAGTTAGACAATAGGTCCTAAGGGATCCTCCACCCAAAGCTCACTTACAGGTATAATATAAATTCTGAAACAGTGCAGACAATATATAAAGAAACAGATTAATAACAAGATAAGGGGAATGGTTATACCAGGCCATTTATAGCAGTAAATAATGCAATATATAAAATGAGCATGTCATGCAATATACCAAATGAGTGTGCAATGTCGTATATGTTCATGTCATGTGTATGCATCCTACTGACCAGAGGATAAAAGGTAGGGATTACACATATCTGCAACCGACAATACAAGGCTCTTCCTCTGTACCTTACGCACAGAGTTACCATTTTGTATGTGGCCCACATATTCAGGAATTACCGCCTAGGGTGGAGCACCCCACATACTAACATATGACATTTGCACTCGCAAAATAGCTCAGCACCATCTCAATACTTATAACATAAACATATATAATTTCATAATCCAGCTCAACAACATATCCAATACTCATAACATAAACAGATATAAAATTTTCAGAAAACATATCATGCACATAAACCAATCCCCTATGGGGTTTGGTGGAACAAGCAATGGATAAAATCGAGGACTAAAAACTTACCTGTCAAGCTAAATCCTCCAACACCAACTTGGTATCAA